GGCCTAGATGGCACCTGTTCAGAAGGCTTGAGTGATGAAACCTTCATATTTTTTGGTGACCTTTGACCATGCAACCATGTCAGAGCCCTGGCATGTGGGGCTTAGGCCATGCTTGTGGAATCATTTTGATTAAAGTAGTTATGGAACATTTTAGAATTTAAAATTTTCCCCCCAAGTGTGAAAATGTTTCTAATGATACAGTATGTAATGAGTCAGGCTTGGTAGTTTATAACAATAAATGTTAATATGTAAGTGTTGTACATCTTCCATTGCTTGGGAGGACCGGAGTTGGCAATGCACACAGTTCAGGAATCGAGTGTGCACATAATAGTGAAAGGCCACAGGTTCAGTACCGAGTACCAAAAGGGGGTATGTATGCGAGGAAGGGTTTATCAAGGTCAATTCCAAATATACAAGAAGGAGAAGACAAGGCAAGAGGGCTGGAGCTGACAGAAGGATGTCTCATTGTTTTGCTAAAATGGGTCAAAATCTTAACATTGTATCAGTTTTCATGATGGGAAAAAAATCCTGTGCTAAGACAATGGAAAAGACTTCTGATGCTCTAGAGGGCCTCTGTTCCCTATAAGATCTCATGGAGACAGTGCTTTTAAGTGGGTCCTCTTGGTTCATGGTTGGTACAATTTTCATATTATCATATCATAAATTATGCAATCCAAGTTATGGGATGTGTGTAGTATGTGTGTGCATGTGTAAGTGTATGCATTTGTGCGTGTGGGTGCATGTGCACATGTGTGTAGGTGCATAATAATAATGTGTGGAGGCCAGAGGCTGATGTCAGGTGTCTTTCAGTATTGCTTAGTTAGTTTCTCTTATTTCTTCTTCTGAAACTCATTATGCTGTGGTTGGCCTCAAACTTACTGAGTTGACCCCTACTCTGCCTCCGGAATGCTGGAATTAAAGGTGTGTGTCATGCTAGGCTATGTTGTCTTTTGAGACAGCATCTCTTACTGACCCCAAACCTCGCTGATTGGCTGCCCAGTGAGCTCCAGGTATTCACTTGTCTCCACCCCCTTAGTTCTAGGATTCTGGTTGCTGGGGGCATGAACTCAGACTCTGGGCACTTTACCAGCTGAGACATCTCCCCGCTTTCTGTTGAGATTTGATAAGAACAGATTAAATTTAAGAAATCCCTCATTTTATTTTTTTTTTTAAAATCTTTTCCCCACTGGTCAATAGAACAAGTACTGTGGACTTTTCCTCGTTGATTAGACAAAGTCAAAGGGGATTGATTTTCTGTTTTTAAGATGATGTATCTCAAACCTCTGGTTTTATCTCAATTGTTGGAATGGAGGCTAGTCTAGGAGGCATCCATTTTGGTTCTCATAGGAAAACCGAAGGCCTCCTATGACCAATTCCACACTGTGGTCTGAATGTCCAACTTTTAGTCTCTGGTTCTGCCCCATACATATCTGCCCTGACCTAGAACTCTGTCTGTTCCTATGAGGATACACAGTAAAGCACTCACAAGTATCAGGGCCTAGGTATCAATTAGCATTGGATAGTCAGAGAAATGGCTAACTAGGGTGCATTCTGCCTTCTTTCATTATAGAACCCTACATAATGCTGCTTGCACAAGAATAGGTAAAGTCACCCCAGAGTTTCTACAAGACTTCTGGGCCCCACAACTTCAGATTCTGAGGGAGTTGAATGAGGGGTTTAAACAGGTACCACTTGAACCTAGTTTGAGAAAAACTGACCTTCAGTAAATAAATAACACAGCTGAAAAAAAAAGCCACACAGATGTGGTTTCAAATTTTTATGCTATCACTTTAAACTGTGTGAATTTAAGCAACCTAATCCCTTCCATTGCTCCCTTGAAGAAATTTCGAACACAGTTATTTTGAGGATGAGATAAGATGTAATGTCCTGGGTTGGAGAGGTGACTCAGCAGTGAAGAGCTCTGTCTGCTCTTCCAGAGGACCCTGGTTCAATTCCCAGCAACCACATGGCAACTCACAACTGTCTGTAACTCCAATTCCAGGAGGTTCTGACACCTTCACACAGACATACATGCAGGCAAAGCACAAAGGAACATAAAACATAAATAAATAATGAAATGTCCTGCCTCAGTGCTTGCCAGGGAGCACATGCTTAGTAAATACTGAATGTAAGTGAGCAGCGAGCCAACAGAAGTGTCATCCATTTCCACAAGGTCCATTTGAAGCTGCACGCAGGCATTTCCCATGGTTCCCGACTATACTTGCTCTTCTTTCAGCATGCTCACACCTTCCTCACTCGGTTTCCATTACAATTCCCACGCCCTGCAAAAGGACCCTCGGGTAGAGAGTAACCGTGTCTGGCCTTTGTCTACATTTAATGAAGTTCCTCTTTATTTTGACCATATAACCATGAAAAAGAAAGTGAATTCTAAGTCAGATAGTTTTTGGCCAACCAACCCAGAGGACATAGATAACTGAGGCAGGAGAGTACCTTCAATTACAGTACGATAAGCCCAGTCAAAAGGGAAAAACTTTGGCCAGAAGAAGCAATTTAAAGGTGATCTCAGTGAATCATATAACCATGGGACTAGTGACCTGAGAAATAAGGTTTTCCTATCCAAGGAGATTGTGGGGCACCTTAGAGCTGTCTGAAGTTGAGACAGACATGCATGGTTTTGAAGGAAATGTGTATGATAATTTTTTTTCTAGCTCTAAAGAAGGATTTGTTGAAGCAGTTCAAGTGCAGCTCGCATGAGTCATTTTACTTTGTCACGTAAAGCTTTGAAGCAGAAGTGTTGCCCAGGAACAAGGAGAGAGAATTCTAGAGTTTCTGAGGAAGACAAGCTTCCAGATCCAACGGTTTCCGGTGGCTTCCTTCTCTCCTGCCCGTTTCCTTCACATCTTCTCCAACACTTGCTCTTCAAACTGTGTTTCCGACAGTCTGTACGGCCTGTATGGCTGTTCCGGCATCCCTCCTGGAGGTGTTTCCCTGGCTCATTTGTTTGATAATTGTGATAAAGGCATTCAGGAATATCCTAAACAGTGACTGGAGAAAGCATACCAAAGCGGGTCTACACAGAAGCATTTTACCAGAAAGTTAGTTACAAAAACACATTACTTATGCAAATTACACATGCAGTTACTATAGAAATGAAAATCCAAATCCCCTTCCCTTCTCCTTTTTCTTTGTTTTTCCTTGGTACCAAGGGTATTCATATTGCTGTGTATCTGACCTTTTTGATGAAGACTCTAGAACTCCTCTTTGTATCAATAGTTTTAAAGGCGTAGAATAGTGTGTTCCACAAAGAGCATCTTGGGAGACAGGTTGGACCTTCTCTTGCACACTGAGGTAGGGTCATCTTCCAGCTGTGTAGCTGGGAAGAGAGCCGAGGCAGTGCTGGCATTAAAGACTCTAAAAGTGACTCCGACTGCCTTGAGCCCTGGCTCTTCTGGGGCCTTGATCTCTACTCCTTCGGACTCAGGCATGAAGTTTCTTTAACGTGTACATGGATAATAAGGCTGCAACCCAGGCAGGCTCTTCAGCAGCAGCAAAAAGTTATTTAATAATAAATTCATGTAGGATGACAGATTACAGCCCTGTTGCATCTTACAGCATTAAGAAAAAAAGGATCAGAACTTAAATGAATGGTAGCCCAGGTCTTGAAGACAATGGGCTGCAATAGGAGTGGCTGGAGTGATTACTGCAAGCTGAGGGTGATCTGGGCCTCGCTGCCACAGTTATTCTGCGTTCGTTTAATACAACTTGTCATTGAAATGCCAACTAGAATCTCACTTCATGCACAAAAATTGAAATTACGCACCAAAGAAGAAAAGCACATTTCGTATCCAGCCTGCACAGCTGTCTCTGCTGATGCTATGTGGCAACTTTCCGGTACAGAAAAGAGAAATACCCAGTGTTCTTTATCAGCCTTCTGGGAAATAAGAGCTCGTACCAGTGAAAGCCCCCAGGGGTATATTTCCCCGTTAAAGGCACTGCCGGTGGACTCTGAAGCCTTTGATTTTCTTAGGGATAGTGGGATACATTATTTCGCAACATTTTTCTGAAGGCAGAATAGGTACATAGCCTACAGTAGTAGGATAGCTGAGCCAACTTTCCTTTGGGTGGAATGCAAATATTTCATAAAATATAAGCCTCTTGTATGACAATTGAACTCCCAGACATCTGTCTAATCACCAAAGGTGGGAGAGCGTGGTTTGTGGAGCCTGTCTCATCTTTGCTTTCTATCAGAGACAAGTGTAAGAATTGAAACAATGTTCACACCGACAAGAGAGAAATCGAGTACTGCCGCTTTGCACGATCAGCGGGAAGACAGTGGATGTTAAGTTTCATGCAGAAACATAGATGATGCTCTCAGTCCATTGTTTTATTTTATGAATAAATGTTTACTAGTGAGACCTTTGGTTCATATAGAACAGCTGTGTTATTCTAAGAACTACAAAGGGTACCAGCCTTTGGATGCTATAATATGATGTAGTAGTATTTCAGTGTGTTGGTTGCATGGTTAAGCAACGGTGCAGGTTAGACACACCTGATGGCTATATACCTTCTATCGCCCTGACTTGAACAATGGCGTTAATTTTTTTCCTTCAAATTAAAATCACTTGGGCTCTACCTCAATGCCAAGACGGAATGTAGGTTTGCTGAGAATGCCCACCCGTCAATAACATTCAGCTTCGTCTGTGCCCATTGGCGAGTGAGGTTAAAAGAAAGGAAGAAAAAGGGAGCAATTTTGGGTGGAAAAAAATGGCAGCAAAATAATGCTATACCTTTGACATTTTGCAGCATGCAAATGCTATAAAAATGATATGCAGATTTGCACCGATTGCTTGATTCAAGAGCTCACAGCTTTTGGAAATGGGTTTGAAGCAGAAAGTACGACGTCTTTCCAATCAGAGTCTTGACTTTCAAGTGTGATTATCCCCTAGGGCTGGAAATCCAGTTCATATGCAGGTTGTAGAGTTTCCGATGCTGTAATGAGAGTCTAACTGCTCTTCCTTCCTTGTCCTCCACTCTTGCAGACCAGAGGACGTTCTCCTACGCCGCACACATGATGACATTGTCCTCCTGCACTGCTTCCTCTGGCCAGTGGTGACATTTGTGGTGGGCGTGCTCATTGTGGTCCTGACCATTTGTGCCAAGAGCCTGGCGGTGAAGGCAGAAGCCATGAAGAAGCGCAAGTTCTCCTAACGGGGAGGAGGATTGTGGGAAGCCACGCGCGCGCGCAGAGGCTGTCCCGTCAGTTCAGCGCTCGCCTGCCCCGCAGAGCCCACGTTTGGTGGCGCAGGAGATGGAAGGGGCCGCAGCCAGGCCTCCACGAGGCCCCTTCTTCAGTGGCGGCAGAAACAGGCACAGCTGGAAGAGTCGGGAACTTATCACCTGTATCCCCCGTGCTGTAGCAGTGGCTAAAGGGCCAAGCTCTTAGCTATATGGAGTGACTGTTTGGAAAACCCTCTGAGAAGTTGGTTTTCTTTGGAAAGTACAGTATCTTATTTGTATAGTGTAGCATACAAACCATTATGATTTATGCTTCGTACGAATATTAAAATGCAGTGCTCTGTGGTTTTTTCTATTTTCTTTTTCTTTTTTTTTACACTTAGATCACCAGGGTGTTAAAAACAAGGATCTAATGGTTTTTCGCTTGACTCTGCTAGATGAAATTTATCACTCGAATCTGCAGAACCATTGACCTTACTCCATTACTACCAGTTTCCTTGAGTAAATAATACCTTGACGCCTACTTGAAAAAGGAATGCTACGGTGGTAACTCAGACTCCGGCCACTCTGTTTCTTTTCCTTTGAGGACCGAGGAAGCATCCTCCACTGCCTACCTTTGCGTGGCTCTTATTTCCGGCCAGATGACTTTGCGAGAGAGGGGCCTGATTCTGAAGAAGGCTTTCCCAAGCTCTGGGGACACAGAGTTCTCATTCATCTCTTCATGCTGTTTATTCATTTATTTGAAGTGCTAGGAATCCAAACAAGGGCGTTGCACATGTTAGACAATCTCCGGACCATTGAGCCACACCCCCAGGCTCATTGTTCATTTTTTTATTCTTTTTGGGAGATTTTTATCTCTGTGCAGTAGAATATACATAACATGAAGAACACGCTTCAGTTTAGAGTTAAATGCCTTTTTCCTTCTTTTTTTCTTTTGGGACTTTAAACCAAGTCCATTCAGGCATCTCATTTCCCTTGCCCTGATGTTCTGATGCCAATGCGGAGTGACTGCTTGCAGTTGTGTTCAGTTTGCTCAGACAGAGCTGGGGATGCAGCCTGGCTCACCCCACTGCCGCTTGGCTTTCTGTACCTTCAAAAGTACATCAAAGCCAGGCATGGGGGCACACATGGATTTCTCTGTTCAAGGCCAGCCTGGTCTACATAGTGAGTTCCAGGACAGCCAGAGGTACATGGTGACACTCTGTCTCATAAAATAATAATTAAAAAAAGTGCATCGGGAAACCCATCACCTTTGCATCCGTTCATACCCTAGAATTCCAGACACCAATCGTGAGTCTCAGCAAATGTCAGATCCGCCCTATTTACCGCCCAGAATTGAGCCTTCCTTCAGGTGCGATGATGCACACTTGCAGCTTAGTGTCAGGTCTCACCCTGCAGACACACTGCCCTCAGGATAAGGCTGGAACTTAAGGACAGGCTCACCTCAGTTATGTCCACAGGGTTTTATCCAGTAAGTGAATTGCTGGCAGTGCACTCCTCACTGACCTCTCACCTTCTGAGTGGAAGCTGTCAAGGATACCCGATGCTCGGGAAGAATGTGGGAAGAATACAATCTTTTTTTTTTTTTTTCTAATTCAGGTGTTACAGGTTTCACTGTGAATAAGGCCTGAGATACACTATTTATGACATCCTTTGAGGCTGCTTCCGTGCCTTGACTTCAGTCCCAGTTTTCTGTTGCAGTGTCCCTGTTGTCTTAGCAACACAGAACTATTCTAAAGCACCGGGGAACGCGAAACCAGGAATCAGAGAAAAATCATCATCTTGGCATCACACGGAGGGAGACGAAGTCTGTTTTAATCCTCACCCAATTATCTATGATTAACTGATGATAGAGAACGCGTAAACCTTAAGAGCCCATGGACATATGTCTGTGTTGGAATAAAAGGAAATCTACATGTTAATCAACCTGAGTTTTCATTTGTCAATTTGATATTCATGATTTAGATTAACTACTTGCATCCATTTAGGCATAAAGAACATACAGGCAAATGTATGCTTGCTGTAGGTTGGTTCTGGAATAGAGGGAAGTCACATGTAGTTTTTAGGTCTTCTTTACAGCCAGTTCCATTTCAGGCTCCTTAGTTATACTTGTCAAAAGTAAAACCCAAAGGTTGAACATGGAGAGGGAGGGTTCATAAAAGATGAGCTCGAGTTCCTAATATTTTCATTCTCTCTCTTTTTTTTTACATAAGTTAGAAAAGGGGCCAGCTGCTATAATCTGACCCCCAAATAGAATAGTTTGTTTAAGATGAAAGTTTATTTCTTCCGTAGCAACCCAGAAGTGATACTTGGTAAGTAGGGGGTGTGAAGGCAAGCTGTTTGAGATTTGTCTACCTGTGCTTCTCTTACGGTCGATGCTGTCTCAGCCTTGCAGCCTGGAAGAGAAAGGACGTTGGGATAAAGCTGCTGCCCTGACAGGCATTTTGCCCATCACTTGTCCCCGTAGTGCAGTCTCTCAGTATTTACTGCACAGCTTTCAGGAATGCTTGAACCTGTTTTCTGCAGGTTCATCCGTGTGTGTGTGTGTGTGTGTGTGTGTGTGTGTGTGTGTGTGATAAAAACTTTCATACTCTTAGTGGATATGTGTGTGTCATTATCAGCACCTGAACTAAATTCACAACACCTTATTGCATTTTGCGTAGCGGTGCTGGCTTGTTAAGGTGATCACAGCATTATAGCATTAAAGGTGTAGTTTCATTAAAGCCACAGTAGAGAGCTGAGCTGGCACAGCAGGTGAAGGCCCTTGGTGGCAATCCTGACAATCTGCGTTTGCTCCTTAGGGCCACATGGTGAGACAAGAGACCCTGCTACCATAGGTTGCCTACCCTCCTCCGCACACACATCACGCATGCATGTACCTCTAAACAAATAAATGTAGTAAAGTTTTTTTAAAAAAAATAGATCATAAGTGCATATCTTTTCTTTTGTCGCTTTGAAAATAACTAAGACACAGAGTGCTCTTAATTCTTCTTCAGCCAATAGTCACCGGATGTGGCCTGTGTCTCTGTACTTCCATTTAGTGGCAGCCATTTTGAAAAACAAATTTAAGTAGGAATGCAGCACCCTTCCTCTGACTCCTACTGTCTGATCAGTAACATGAATGAGGAGTTTGAGGAAGACCGAATAGTAACCACATCTTGTGCTGTTGGGATACAGAAGCCCTTAAGCTTGTGTCATAGGCGGAGACACACAACAGCGGTGTCTGCAGCTTTCTTTATGTTTATTTTATTTTCTCTCATGTACGGTTTTTCATAGTGCCTTCTGGGGTTTGGATATGATTTGGTCGTCAGAGGTTCTTTCCATTATTTTATTTTCCTAAAGCTAAAATTAATTAAACTCCTTTGCTTGAGTTAATTTAATGATTAAAATTGATTTAATGAGCATTTTTTGATTAAAAAAAAACCAAGAAGGTGAATGGGAGAAAGGAGAAACTTTATTTTTCTGCCTGAGTAAGATACTTCCAAGGGGTAAGGGGTGGAGTTTCCTCAGGCAGGGTGGTGATAGGGACATCCAACAGAGTTGGGGGATATGTGAAGGATGTATATGATGTGATCTGTTGGGCATTTAAAAAAAAAAAAGAATGCCTATAACCATTGTCCTCCATAGCCTTCCACTGAGTGCTGTTTTCATGAGCAAGAAATTGGAACTAGCCTAGATGACCATCAACATATGAGTGCATAATTAAAATAGAGTGCATTTACACAGTGGAATTTCATTCATCTGAAGAGAAAATATGAAGATCATGAAATAGTCAGGAAAATGGATAGGTCTGGAAAGCATAACATGTAGCAAAACTCAAAAAGACAAGCTCATATATGTTCTCTCCTAGGCAGATGCTATCCTGTAAGGTTTACATCATATGTCAGTAGGATGCAATGCTAGGGAAAGCCTAAAAACCTAGGAAGGAGACCGAAGGTAAAATTAAATGTGAAGGAACAATGGGGTAGTGGTCTAAAGACACAGGAAGAGGACGGAGGAAAGGAGAGGGAAGAGCTGTGGTGAGGTGAGAGGGGAAGAGGCTCAACTCAACCACACACGCTTTGATTGGAAATGTCATAATGATATCTAGTGTCTTGTATTCTAATTAAATTTACTGAAAAAATAAAGCTCAAACATAAAAACAATGTCATCCGAATACATTCTAATTATAAGAAAATAACGTATGTATTCTAGGATGTGGGGAAATGCATTGGTCTTGCTTTGTATATTTAGTGTTGTTTTTTTAAAAATTTTGTTTTGGCATTGTGTATCTGTGTATCTCAGGCTATCCTCAGAATTGCTATGTAGCTGAGGCTGGCTTCAAACTTGTGATGCCCCTGCCTCCACCTCCCTGGTACTAGGATTGCAGGCATCTACTGCCACACCCAGCTTTAGGTCGTGAAGGTTTATATTGTAGGAAATAAGAAGGAACTCAGAAGGGTGCCATTTCAGAAAAAAAAAAAAACAACAAGGGTTCAGTTGCTTATCAGAGCAGATATCACCTCTTGATGGAGAGGGGTCATTCTCTAAGAGGTGAAACAGAAGAGGCAGTTCTGGACACGGCATCTGGTTTCTCCCTGTTGTTGATGTGTGGTCTTGGGCAATTTAGCCTGTTTCTACAGACATCTCAATTATGAAATGGTGCTGATGCTGAGGTACTGATACTGGGTCATTAGTGAGGATTAAATGAAAGAGCAAGATGTAGTGCACAGCCTTGTGGGTAAACGCTAACCGTCATGTTGATAATGGCTGCTGTTCACGGTGGGTGGTGGAAGAGGGTGATTTCAACAAAAGTGAAAAAATGATTTCAAAACAGATTTTTTTGGTCATAAAATCCTGTGCTTTGGTCTTTTGATTCTTCTTCCTTAGGCCCTACCAATGTAAAAGACCAGTACTGAGTTTTGTCCTTTTCTGAAGTTCTATCATTAGTTAGTTTTATTTCTAGAACTCCACTTAAAAAAAAATTCACCTCTGAAATCTATTTTTAAAAGAACAGATACTCCTGATTTCCCTACTTCGTTCAGTATTAATACATTGATGTTATTTGAAAGTTCTTCCTCATTGCACTTAGCAATTTCCAGAATTACTAAGAGGTAAGTTATGTCTTTGATGAAGAGCAATTACTGTTTTTTTTTCCTTTTCTTAGACACGAAATTCAGAGAGCACTGTCCTTTTTGCCCATTCTTCATAGAACATTGCAAATGACTGAGGTACTTTTGCATGATTAATGCATCCTCTAAAAGAAGCACCACTTTTATGTAAGTCCGAAATGTTTGGAATATATAAGACATATCTGTGTCTCATTAGCAAGTTGCTGACCCAGGATAATGCTTACAGAGGGTTTT